TGGAATGACTTAACTTCCTGTAGTCCTAGTTATTTTAGGTGTTCTTATTGTATTATAAGTGCACATTTTGTGTGAGGATAGAACTAGTAATGAACTAGTGGTTTGCACTTAAGTAGGACTAGTATTCCTAGACCCGACCTTATAACGGACCCGACCTTGGAATTAGCCCATTTGGAGTGGGCCAAGATCAGTTCGGGCTAAGTAGCTCGAGCTCGGGCCTATCAATATTTTTTCCTCATCACATACCATTGCTATGCAAGCACAATTTTTCACGTGCTACGGCCCTTTGTGTGACCACCTACACTAAATTCATCAGAAAAACACTGCCGAAACTTCTTAAACCACAAAACCATGTCAAGATTTCACATACACCACATATTTTTCCTTTGTCCATGTTCTTGTTCTGACTATAGACAAGCAATCTCTAGTAAATCTACAAGTTCTGTGATCACAATCCACTGACCAAGAATAATTGCCTGATAACTCTTAAAAGTAAGCCAGGCCGAGCAGGCACACCCCGGCCCACCCCAGTCCACCTTCCCCACAAGCAGGCAGGGGGCCCGGTTTTGACTTGCCTTGGCATGGCTGTACAAGTTCAGCTTTGCTTCTCTTTGTGTTTACCCAGTTTTGATCACTATTGCTTGAATAAATGAAGGCAAAGCTTCAACCACAAAAATAAATGGAACAGAAGCAGAACCTGCACGAAAATGAGCAAAGAAAAGGTTAGTACATAAACAAGCCCTATATGTGAAGAAAATATGACTAGAATCACTCAGAAGGAAATTTATATTATAATTCAATTTTTGCAACTTATTGAGTAATGAACAATTGAGGTGAATTTAATTTAGCACTGAACAATTGAGATTTAGTGAGTACTGATTCTATATTTGTTTGGAGTGAATTTTATTTGCTATTGAAGTAATAATGGAGATTTATAATTAATGATCTTCTGTGAATCAAATGTTCAATTCATATGGAAAAAGAAACTAGGAGTTATTACTAAGGATTGTGATTTTTGAATCAATTCTAATTGAAAATTAAATTGGGGCAATAAAGTATTTACCTGACATTTTACTGCATAGTGAGGATCTTCAGTGATTTCAATTATTATCTCGACAATTCCTTGTAATTGGGTTGAAGTTAGCTTCTACACATTATTACTGCTAATTTTATATCTTGGATTTGGAATTCCAGAGTTATGCAGGATGCTTAGATACGAAGTACTATTTGATTGGTGCATTTGGTTACCAAACTTATTCAAATACAGAGAACATTGATGCACATGTTTTGCTGAGGTTCTAATAATTGCCTATTGCTCAGAAGCTCATACACAATTATTCTCATTTTGTTCCTTTGAAGCTCCTTGTTGCTGACATAGTTTAGCAAACTATAGTTTTAGCTGACATGTATGTTTTCCTCTTTGAATAATTTCACTGTAAACGATATAAGGAACTTGTTTTTATAGATTGAAGAAATTTAGTTTCTAATTCGCTAAACCTGCTTA